TCTTCTGCAAATCTCTCCATCTCCACTGGAGACAAAAATGAGAGTTCATCCATGTAAGCATGAAGGACCAGAGCACCACCATTGGACTGATGTTCTTCATGAATGAAGTTACTAAATTTAGTGCCAGTTTTCAAGAAGCTGCTGCGAACAGAATGCTCCTGGTGGGTCACAAATGGTGTTTGTACTCCCTGGGGTATTCGGTACTCCTGCATACCCAAGTTCAGTCTGCAGAGCTGCTCATCCTTCAGATACCTGAAAGATTCCTTGTTCATTTCTAAGTTATCACACTGTCCTTGAGATAGAGTATCTTTGTCAATGCGAGTGAGTCCAGCACACACTGTCTGCACTTCTTTGTTGTACATCTTCAGGCGTTTTCCCCTCACATCTTCCCGGTGTTTCTTTTTCTTTTTTTTCTTTATCTTCTTCATAATAAGACTGTCAGCTCGCTGGGTTTTGCCATTTTCATCTGGAGTTTCTGCAGCAACAATAGCGAGAAGATTAGAGTTCTAAAGTTGCAGCATATTCACCCAAAAAGAATTAAGACCTCTCATTTGCTAAAGCTGTCTATTCCCAGGGAGACTGACCAGTAGTAATACCTTGACTTTTGACTTCCAAGACTTAAACTATACAACAAAAACCACAGTGCATCTAGTTGTTATGCAAAGCAAGCCTTGAATTAAGAACTTCCAAAACTCAAGCTTAATATTTTAAAATATTAAAAATTGAAATTCTTCATTACAACACCTTTAAAAGGAGTCCACATTTCAGAACATCTATAATTAAGTACATTAATAACTTCTGACATTTAAGGCAGTGCCATGCAGGGGAAGAGGATAAACAAGTATGCATAACAAACATTAAGACTTTGATTACAGAACACTTCCCTGATTTTGGATACACAATATAGAAGCAAAACAGAGTGTAACTGAAGAGGTACAAGCATTATTGACATTTAAAAGTAAAAATACTTAAAGCAGTCAAGACTTCTGGCCAAAAGAAAAGAAATAATTTTAGACTGTTGGTCGTTCGTATTAAAGGATCCAAATCATCACATCCACATCTTCAGCTACCTTTCGCTAGTCTTATTCTGTTAATTCAGAGCTAGAAATTAAGAGGTTGTTGGTTTGTTTTTTTTTTTGTTTTTTTTTTTTTTAAGGTTAATCAACCTGTAAAATGCTAAAAGCTGAGAGATTAAAATGTAAAAAAGTAGTTCTGTTAGGCAAAATGTAATAGTTTAATTGCTCATTTTTTAGGAATAAAAACTAATTCAAGTAATATTTAGCAAGTGACAATGGTAGTTAGAAATTTTGATGGTCCAGCTGTTAAAAAATTCAATTGCCAAGACAAGATTTTAATCTGCCTGAATCAAAGAACTATTTCATGCCAACAATGCACATAAGCCTCTAAGAGCCGTATTACCAGGATAACTATGGCAATCTTAAAAATCTGCTGCTGAAGGTAACATCTGACTAGAAGATGCAATAGCTAAAGTTTGTTTCCTGCAGCACAGGGAACTTCTTTCCTTTTTTTGTCTGCAAAGCTATCAAATTTGTATTCACTCTATTTTCTTGCAGTACTTGGAAGTTGAAGAAAAATCACGTTACACTGATTTATCAGAAAAGGCGTAATGATCAATACATGCAGCTTCAAGTTACTTAGACTAACTACAGTATTTAACTATATCATTACTAGTTTGGTCTTGGAGCTCTTTACTAAAAATGGTTGATCTTCCTAACAGCCTGGTGTAATGAAGAGAATTACTCATGAAGCAAAGAAAGAGTTGATTGCTCAATACTAACTTCGTACAGTTGTCTTAGGACCTGAAATACAAGTTTTCACAGTACTGCAGTTAGTCTTTACAAACAGCAAATGCCCTTATTTTTGAATTACAGCTAGGGAAACCAGGAAAAGAACGGTGTTATCACTTGTTTTGGTAAATCAACTGGAACAGTTCTATGAATAAGCTTTTCTAGAAGACTCAGAAGTTAAGCATGCATAAGCTTACCCGATCACTAGGCTCTCAAGTATAGATACTGCTTTACTAACTGCAGTGAACATACGAATCACACAGAAGATCTTTGTTCTGGTGGGACCAGAGATTCCAAACTGAAACTAAACAAGAATTTCATGCCACCACTGAGCTGTTGGGAATACTTCCCTGTAGATGTTTTTCAGTTAGTTTTTGGTTGTTAAAGGTGTCTTATTTTAAGCATTTCTAATTTTAGATATAGTTTAAAAGCCTCAGATATGCACTAGTTTTAATTCAGAGTACCTTGCTGTTTGAAGATATTCCCTAATAGCAGACATACACCTAGCACTCACTGGATTTCAAAACTTCCAGTGAACACTGGCCTATTTTAAAGATAAAAGCTATCCTGACCACGCTTTATCCACTGAACACAGCAGAGTTCCACTACTAGAGTGAGAGCAAACTCTGTATAAAGTGAAGCTACACGGCAACAATATGGTAATGCCTGACAACCCTGAAGGAAATATAGTTTTAATTCTTCTTTTAAATAAACGGAAAGCGTCCAGTACCTCAAACTGAGAAAAAGCTATAACCAGGTCATCAAACTATGGGCTCCCACAGTGAGGGAGAACAACAGCAGTGCCAATAACTCAGCTAGTCTGAAACTATTAGACATCATATAACTGAACATGCTAGTATTACCATTAAACAGCAAAATTACTGGAAATGTTCACTGTCACTTGTGGCCGAAGTTATGAATAGTATAGTCAAAGAAACAGGCAGTTTAATTAGATTATACTTAGAAATAAAAAACAATAGTGAAAGACAGAAAAAGAAATCCAGCCCCATCTGATACCCACTACATATGCAGTCTAGGACAAGTAGTGAAGAGCTTCAGACTTCCGGTTAGCAAACAGCTTTCCTCTGAAAATCTGGAATTCAGATGGTAATTTTAACAGTGTTCCAGCCACCATTAAAAGAAGGCCTCATTTGATTACTGGGTTAGAACTGACAGACAGTGACACTCCCAGCCTACAAAAACATACTTCCGTAGTTTTATCAACATTTATCAAGCTGAAGCTTGAAATTTACAGTCCAGTAGCTTTTATAGTCATTATTCAAACACAGTGGTTTAGAGGCACTAAACAGTAGTGAAAAGTCTCTCCTCGTAATAGTTTTTCCCATTCTTAAGACAGTACTGTCTGGAGTTTACACTACAGACCTAACTTTTGTAAGCACGTGCATCTTTGGTTTCTTTGGCACAGTACCTTCACATATACTCCCAAAACATCATTCAAAACACAGTATCTTTATTACAGCAGCTTTTAAAATTGTCTTTTATCGATATCTCTCCCACCAAGAAGCTTTTTACTATCCCATATTTGTGAGCAGAACTCAAACAGTCATTCTGTACAGTTAAAAAAAAAAAAAAAAAGACATCCCCACCCCAGAATCCAGAGGCATTTTGGCCTTCCTATTAGAGAAAGCTCAGGGCACTTATTAAAATACACCACCTACAAAACCAAAACAAAGCAAACCAGCAGCTTCTCAGTTCTAGTATGTTAATGCAAGCATAGCAGGAAGAAAGCTTTACTATCAAAGCACTTGTATTTTGAACGTGCAGTGAGGGCAATGCTGAGGAGCAGCACTAGAGTACGAGCAGCAGCACCAGCGCTCCCACTCCCCGCAGGGATGGCCGCGGCGCAGGTCCCTCCGCCACGCACACCCGGGCTCCGCTCTCAGTCACGAAGTGGAAGTGTCGTGCCCCGCTACGCCGGGAAGCGACGACAAGGACTAAATCCAGGGTCTGCTCAGGCTGCCCGGCACAGCCCCGCGGGAGCGCACACAGCCCAGCTCTGCGCTCCGAGAGCGGCGAGCGCTCCGCTCCGCTCCCGCCTTCGCGGGCGAGGCCGAGGCCGGCGGCGTACGAGGCCGGCGCCCAGGGACGTGGCGGGCGAGCTCCTCCGGGGGCGATCCGCATCGGCCGAGCGGCCCCCGGGCACCCGAAGCGGGCGGCGGCCCGGGGTCGCGGGCGGCGGCCGGGCAGCCCCGCTGCCCCTCCCACCCCCCCCCTCACCTCGTTTGCTGGGCCGCCCGGCTGTCCCCTCCGCGGGGCTGCCCCGCCTCGCCTTCTGCGGCTGCCCGGCGGGCGGGCGGCCGGGCTCGGGGCCGGCGGCGGGGCGATGCCGGTGGTGGTGGTGGCGGCGCTCCTCGAGCGCGGCGGGCGGTGGCAAGCTCAGGGGGGAGAAGGCGAAGAGCCCGGCGGCGGCGGCGGGCAGGCCGGGCAGGGCGGCCGGGGGCAGCGGCTCCGCCGGGCCGGGCCCCGCCAGCAGCTGCTGGCTCAGCCGGGCCCGCTTGCCGCCCGCCGCCTCGCCGGGGGGGCCCCGCCGCCGCCGCCCGCTACCGCGGGGGCGGCCGGGCCGGTCCCCCGAGGGGAGCGGGGGCGGCTCCTCCGGGGCCCGGGACACTGCGCGCACCGCGGCGACCTGCGCAGCCATTTCACAGTCTCCCTCACACACATTTAAATGGCCCGAGCGCCAGGCGGCACTGCGCAGGTGCCGCGCGGTTCCCTCTGGGAGCTGTAGTCCGCGGCGGTGCGCCGGGAAGTGTAGTCCGCCCGCGGGCGCATGCGCAGGGCGCGCCCGGCTGGGGCGGGGAGTTGGTCACGTGCGCGGGCGGTAACGGGCGGCGCGGGGGGCCGCGGGAAAGCCCCGCGTTACCCCGAGTCCGCGGGTGCGTCATCGCGGGGCCCCCGGCGGGCGGGCGCGCGCACCAGTGGCTCCGTGGCCCGGGACTCTCGAGCAGAGCGATAAATCAGCTTTTATTTTTACGGCGTTTCCCGCACGTCGTGAGGCGCTCCGTCGCGGAGCTGCACGAGCGCAGAACGTGGCGCGTGGCCGGCGGCCATTTGGCCGCGGCGGGGGTCGAGGCGGTGCGACATGGCGGCGGGGCGCGCGCTGCCCCCCACAGCTGCACCCGGCCGCGGGCGGGCGGCTTTGAGGCAGCTCAGAAATACTCGCAACAGGAATATAAATTAGGTAACGTGTTTTTATTGGTTCCTGCTGTTGAGATAGCAAGTGACTTTGGTGAAAGACAAGGCAGGCTGCTGCTCTGTTAGCAGCAAAAACTGGCTTCAAACCAGCTCGAGTATTCTAGTAGTGGTCAGTAGATTTCTCTCTCGACCAAATTCTGCTTTGTTTTTCTCTCTCCAGAGGAAAGTAATCATATCAAGCAGTTCTCAACCCCCACAGGATATAAATAGCAGTGGAATCCAGAGAGGAATCTCTAAAATCTCTTCTTTGGAGATAATCCACATGAAATTTTGTGCTGGAGAGTCACATGTACATAAAAACCAGAACTAGTTTCAAAATACAGTATCTCGCTGTGGTGGTGGTTTGTTTTTGGTTTTGTTTTCCAGATAGGGCAGTTGGGTCAGCTCCTTACGCAGTCTGTGACACTAGCTTAGTTTCTATATGATAAATCAGTACCTTAGTCTTCCTGACCAAAAATGTAGACAAATTACCTGATTTGCTCAGATGAAAACTTAAAGAATTATTTCTAAAATATGAGATGATAGTTCTCTTTCAGTCCAAGTAATGTAAACATTTAAGAAAGTGCAGGTCTATACTTATGGTAGACCTACACATGCAAGTGAGGTTGTGCAGATGCCGTGTCTGCACGATCCAGAGTCCTGCTCTGCTTCTGTCTGCTCCGCTGGCCTTCCATATCATCCAGTAGTCCTTGCTGGATCCTATCACCAGGTTCCACAGCTTTGTTTCAGAAAGCTCAAATCCATCTTTTTTTAGTGAATGTTCCAAAACACAGCTAAAATGTATCCCTTCTTCAGATAAAATATCTATTCCCAGTTTTAGTTTCCATCCTGCTGTAAATTAACTGAAAGTGCTTAGCTGCTGGTGATTTTATTTTCTTCTTCTTTACTTTAAAACTTTAGTTGAAGAATGTGCAAGTAGTGCCTGAGTTGCAAATACCATGCAGCACTTCTGATGTATTTATTTTGATGGAAACCTTACTGGGATGAGCATTCAAGGCGTATCGGAAGGACTTCACAAATCTGTAACACCAGATCTGTAAAACATATCTAAATATTCCATGCTGGTGGTGGATTTCTCGGTCCTTTAGGTTTTGAAAATCGATTTGTAAAGCCTAGGAAGAAATTATTTTTTTTTAATGCAACAAATTCTGAATGTTAGAGATTGTGATTATGTAATTCCTTAAGATATTACGGTATTTGAAAATACATGTAATTTCAGTCCGTTCCCAAAATTTAAGATAACGGTAGACTTAAAGCAACATCCTGTAGTTGTAAATCAGCTGGTTCAAAAACAGTCTATCAATGTGTCTACCTGACAAATGCTGTCATTATAGCATGCATATCATGATAACTAGATTTTATACGTAATCTAATACATGACTACTCTAGTAGAAGAATTTAAAATGGAAACCATGCTATTTCCCCTCAGCTGTATTCTACAACATAAGGCAGCAGCCTAGAGGCAGTGTTACACCTTTGTCTTTGTCTTCCGCCTTCTCTGTTGGCACATAAAGGCTTTGAGGTACAGGAGAGCCAAATGCACACTTCCGACTTCACACACTGAGAAACATTTGTCAGAGTAGGTTTGGAGGTTTGTGTTTTCCATCCTCACCTGTTCTTTAAATAGTTCCTGAATAAAGTTGTTAAATGTGTAAAAAATAATAAGCATTATTTGTCATGTTTGTAATTTGTTAGCATTCAGCCTGCTCCCTGCATTTAGACTTTCAAAAAACAGATACTTCCGACACGGAAACACAAAAAGAAAAACATACCAAAGTTAAGGAAAGACCTCAAATGGTTTGAAGGGGGAGATTCTGATGGTTTCGTCAGTGAAGATGGACTACAGATGCCTAGAAATAAAAAATTAGACTGAAGCAGTTAGTCACTATGTTAATTCCCTGAAGAGCTGGACTCAGCCACACCTACGGGAGAACACGTCCTGCCACATGCATGGTGACGCCAGGCACGGGTGCTATTTCAGCACAAGAAAAAGGTGAAGTCCTTGCCACACAGTTTTAATGACATTTGCTTATAGCAGGGAGCGAGTGTACTACTGCAGCACAATTAGCAGTCCTATTTTCAAGATAAGCATTTTAATTTTAGATCAAAGGGAACTTAATGACGAACTCCTTATTTATGCTCCAAATAGACTGGGCAGAATCCAGGGTGGGGCTTACATTCCTCACAGCACCCCTGTCCCCCATTTTTAGAGTATTTGTCCCACAACACTGGCTTGAATGACCTGAATAATTTGGTAATTTGGGCACACTGGAGATGTCCCCAGGTACCCAAAGGGCATTACAAGGGCACCACGGCATCCTTATGACACTCCTAAAACCACTATTACTATCCAGATGAGGTGGTGCTTGTCTAGCCAGCGCAGCTCTGTGTGTCCTACTCCAAAGTAGGCAGACATGCACTGTGTTTCACTTTTGACAAGTTCAGGTTCCTGAAAATTCAATCCCACGTATTTCTTTATATACTTGCTTAAAGCCATCAGGAAGATGCACGTTAGCCTGAAGGACTTACTCTTTCTCACATTTTTCAATATTTTCAAGCTCTGTAGAGAAGGAAAAAAAAAAAAAAATTGGTTGGAAAAAAGTATAGCCAGCAGTAAATCAGTTACTATGATAAAAGGAATTCACTGACAGACATACATGTATGAGAAGTATCGTGCCTAGCAGCTGAGACAAATGCAGACTTCTGCCATTCACTTCCTCTCCAGTTTTTTTCTAGCCAACCCGAATGCCTCCAGATTGTATTATTCTTACTGTTTGACTCAAGTGCTTTTCCACTCAACCATAACATCCCGACAGACAATTGCTCATGGGGATAATTAACTAGGGCCACAAAAGGAGACTGGTGATGAGTAGAGTCTGTCCTACACAGGAATTCAGACTCCACTCGAGCAACTTTTTCCAAGAGGAACTGGCACGTCAGGTGGACGGAGTGGGGAGGCAGGGCTCTGTCACTGATCCTAGTGCAGACGGGTTTGTTTGCAGTTCTGCAATTGAGTACTTGTATTAGTCTTGTTTCCTTGCCCTAAATATGAGTGGTCTCAAAGCAGACAACTTTCACAAGGTTAGCAGTCAGGAAGTAGCAACAGGTGTAGCTAGAATGATCTCTTCTTCTCACCCCCTCCATTTTCAGGAGCTTTTGTTTTGTCTTGTTTCTTTTACCTTGCTTCTCCTGAAGCATTTCGTAGGCTCTTTTGACGATGTTTCAGAAGCATTGTTGTCCACGCCCAGAGGACTCGTAGAATTTCCTGCAGCAGGCTGCAGACCTGGGAACACACATCAGAACATTTTCAGTGTTCATTGAACAATCCTGCTTTTTTTCTAAATACTTGGTTGTTGCTTTTCATTTCCTCTAATGCAGCAGTTCTAGAAATTTCCAACAGGCCCCCTAGTTGTGTTTACTTTCTTTATATCTACTGAACATTCCTGCAGTTAAGTCCTGAAGCACTACCATTGGCAATTCTTCAAACAGGTGGGCCACAACCTCTTCAGCTGTCTACAGGTTTAGGTGTAAGTACAAAATCTCAGTTACATGCTGAGAAAATAACTCATTGCTTACTTGCTGCATCAGCAAGAACAAATGACTCCGGGGTTCTTTCAGGAAGCGGGGGAGGAGAGCTAGAGCGATCCCGAGTTGTCTCTAAGAAAGCAAAGATAAAAGAGTTGGTTACCTAGCTATAAAAATATATATTTATCAGTTCACTGAGAGGTCCACAGCACCCTAACCAGCGTATGTCAATAGTCTCAAAGGACGCACACAACATGTAGCAAAAGATGTGACAACCCTCAGCCTGAGGAGGCTGCAAGGAACGCCGTCACGTACAAGGTGAGGCAGGAGCTGGTTAGGAAATACAAAACTACCAGTTTATTTGGTTGCAGAAGTGTCCAGTTCGGTTTAGAACTATTTGGTTGCAGAACATATAGCAACACAAAATTTCAGCTGGACTGAGCAGAGATCCTGAAGACATTTACTGAATATGGTAAAGCAGCTACAGTAAAAAGCAGACCTTATTTCCAAAGATAGTTTATCCCAGCGTTAAACTGATACCTGTTTGTGGGCTCCGAAGCTTCACACTCTGGAAACGAAAAATAAGGAAGGTATTTGAATTTTCCACGACCAAATGTCATTCTTGTGAACACAAGCAAGCCAGAGAAGAAAAGGAAATGATGTTACATGCTAACAGCCTCCTACACACACCCCCATGTAATGGGAAATAGACTTACACCTTATTGTTTCACTTTACAAATCTATAATTGAACTATGGGATGACCAAGAGATGCCTAAATTTTGTTCACTCCTGCCTGTTCCACAGGGCAGTGTGAACCTCAGCGGACCACTAACTTCCTGTCTTCGTTATCCTCTAAAAGAGGGACAATATTTTTACTACCTTGTATGGGATTTAGGACCCCAAAAAATAATCTTTGGAATCAGGTAGGTGCTGATGGGGAGCCTGAATAAGACCACATCTTCCTGAACCCAGAAATCATTTATGGAAGGTACACAGTGCCAAAACTAGAGTCTTTCTCACAGAAGGAAATGTGATAAGGAAATTGGCATAGTGGTAGTGCCAGAGAAGAAATAAAAGCCACTTACTTACCTTACTTGGTCTCAGTCTCACTAAGTCATTAAACACCTCTGAGTGAGACTCACCACTCCACTCCAAAGAGATTCCGATCTTTGTATTTCTGGCTGGAGGCTGAAAATCAGAAGTGGCCAGAGGAAATTGTCCTAGAAACAGTTGAACACAAGAGAGGTCATTTCTCATCCCAGGCGGCCAGAGCAAAGGCACTGCTGGATAGATACTACGAAACCACACAAACATGGGAAGAGCCCTCCGAGAGCTTCTCGGGCCCTGCTTTGGTAAATGCACTTACCAGATTCACTGGCCACGATAAAGGACTCGGGGGTTCTCTCGGGCAGGGGCGGAGGCTCGTCATCATCTGGCTGTGGCAGGGTGGCTAACTGGGGAGTCCTGGGCAGGTTACCTGCGCGGCACAACACAGCAGGAGAACTGCAGACCTTTGTAGAGACTCGGAGCCGACTGCTCTTGCCCAGCCGTGCACCAGAGATGATGGTTAAACACCTCTAAACTGCAGTTAAACATCCCAATAGTCCTCAGCACCAATTCACCTGCTGCTAGCTACGTGGCCCCAAGGGCAGACTTCCAGCAGTGTGGGCAGCAGAATTCCCGTTGTACAGGGGACGAGCGTACCCCCAGCAGGCAGCTGAGCCCACAGCTGCCAGACTGTGGCCGCTTGCCTTGCGCTGCAAGCCCCGTAACTTCCCGAGTCTCTAGCATCTAGGTAATGAGCACACTTCTGTGACACTGAATGCTGAAGGGCCTGAGCAGGACAAAGCTGAGCACATACCAAAGCTGCAGACAACAGGAAATGTCCAACTGGGCCGGGACTGACCAGACCAAAGAATAATTCTACCTTCTTCATATGGCAGGTGATGGTCTTAAGGCTACAGATCTGGGCAAAACACTGATGTTGACAACCCGTTTCTTTCAGCCTCAGTGGGATGCCAGCATCCCCCTGAACGACACTGCGGGAGGGAGTGGGTTTTGACCTGGAAACTGGATCATCACAGAAAACCATTTCTGGGAGCTTTCTGATGGTCCTTGGAGCACCCTGTTTTGAGAACTGCTCAGCACCAATCCCTGCCTTCCTGTGACAGCCATACGGAGGTGACACAGTAGTCCAGAGCAGCTGTGTAACACGAAACCCAAACCCATGCTGTTCTAAAAATGTTGTTTATTTTTATGGGAAAATTTTAAGGCAGGATGAAACGGGTGCAAGGATGAAAGCGGTTGCTCCCTCAGCTCCGGCGGGAGCACAGTCCCGCGGAGCAGCTACAGCCCTGCCTGAGCACCAGGAGACGACCCTCGCCGCTCCCTCCAGCACGCCGCAGCCCAGCGACCGAGCCCCGCTTGTCGCAGAGCTGCACCACTTACTCGGGGAGGAGATCCTCTCGTCGTTCAGCAGGGGAGCGTGGTGGGACACAGGCCTGGGTGGTGGGGAGCCGGCCGCGGCGGGCTGCCGGGGGGCACTGGCAGCGCAGGAAGGGAGAAGCGCATCCTGCCCCTCCGCAAAGCACTCGGCAAACACCGGGGACACAGGGTCATCTGGGGAGAGTGAAGAGAAGTAGGGGTCTTCTGCTGAGCAGAAGTAAGGGTAAGGACATTGCCCACGGCTCCTGCGGCTTGGGGGGCTGTCCGCTTCCTGGCTCAAGTGGTTCAGCTCAACAGGGGGAAATCCCTCCTGCTCCTTCACCTGAAAGCTTGAGTAACAGGCACTTGGCAACTGTGAACTCAAAACAGGCTTTGCATCCCCTCCACCCCATTCCCAGCCTTCTTCCTGCTGCACCAGCACAAAAGGGGTCGATGCAGTCCGTGCCAGCGGTGCTCTGCCACGAGCCCCTCTCCTGCCTGCTCCCCTCGCGTCCTGGTGCAGAAGCAGCTGCTCAGGAGAGATGCTGTTGAACTCCAAACTGCGGTGTTTCTGAAGGGCGTCCCCAGCATCCCACTTCTCAGCAGCAGCTGCCTTCCTGCAGCTGATGAAGCTCAAAGTGCCAAAGGAGATGGCCTGTCTGATGGGAGGGACTCCGCGTCCAGAGCTGTCGTGTGCTCCCGTGGCAGACAACGATGTCAGGGACGGTTTGCTTTGTACCACCGGAGGAAGACACCGATGCACATCCTGTTCCGCTTGCTCTGAGCTGCAATAAAGTGCCGTGATGTGAAGTCAAAGCCATTTAGTACTCAGAAATATCCCTGTTAGCCTACTGACCAGGCCCCACAGCATTGCTCTTAAGAGCCGATGCAGGAATATAGAGCTGGGCTCAGCCTCAAGCAAGGAGCACAGGGAAGGACTGTGCATGCTGGTGCCCCGTTTGAACACCATTAAATGGTGAACAGAGGAAACCCCTTTATGCAGGTAGACTACAGCCGCAGTGCAGAATGTACCAAGAAGGAAAATTATTTACTGAAAGCAGACACTGCAAACCAAAACATGCCCACAGAAAGATCCCACCGCCCTCTGAAGCTGCCCGTGTTGGGCTGTTGGCACTCCTGCAGGAGGAGGCACTGGGGTGGCACTGGGGTGGACGGAAGGGGCGACTGGTCGGGGGCACCCGCGGGGTGCAGGGCTCCAGGCAGGGAGCTGAGGTGAGCCAGCACTGGGGTGTCTCCACACACGTGAGCCTTTTCTTACACTGCCCTGGGACGTGTTTCCAGTTCATATGTGAAACACTGTGTGAGCACAACATGAAACAGACCCAAGGGCAGAAGAGGGTGATGGATAACAGCACCCAGGGAAGAGGCTGAGACTCAGTCTCAGACACACATCAGCAAGAGGAGCAGGACTTATGTTGGGAACAAATGTGAGAGTCGAAGTGGGACTCAAGGGAGGCTGCCAACCCTGCTGACAAAGGAAATGCTACGTCCAACAGAACTGTGTCACAAAGCACACAGTAAAAATGCATCTTCCTGAAATCGTATGGGTGACTGAAAATACTAACCCAAGGGGTACTTGTGCTATGGCCTTACCACGTTAGTAATCTCAGAGAATAAATATCTTCCACTGGAGTCAGAAGTGGTTTAGCTACAGGATGTCTTGTTTGTACCTAGTGAAAGAAAATGTTAGAAAACAAGAGCGAGGAGGAAGAATGCAAAGGACACAAACATGCTATTTCAGGAGTTGGAATTTGTGCTAACTACTTTTAAGTATTAATGCAGTTTGGAAATGACAAACATCGACTTGAAAACACCAAGTTGGGGCTGAGAACTGCGGACAGGACCTCCTGAACAGCAATTCCGGTCAGCATCTTTTTGAAATGAAAGTACAGTGAGCTGTACAACCATCCAGCTGCTCCAAACACCTGCAAAACAGGCTGCGCAGACAACGCTGCCTCCGGGAGCCCGCGTGGGCCTTCAGCCCGGCAAGCCGGGCGCTGGTTCCATTTGTGACACTTCAGCACATGGCCATCCCCCACGCTCTGCAGAAATGCTTTCAGAGGGCAGCGAGGTTTAGGAGGGCGAGAGGTTTGGTCAGGAGCAACAAAATCGCATCCGGACGTGAACCGTTTTCTGCATTTTGTGTCAACCTACTCTCGCATCTCCTTTGCTTACAGACTGTCCACAGCACATAGAAACTGGCACTTTCCAACTCTTTTCTCGCTTGGCTCTGGCTTGGAACAGCCTGCAAATCCCGTGGCAAAACTGGGGCACAGGTGCCATCACAGAATCCTGTTGCCAATTCTTTAGACAAAAGCTTCTAACAAAATAAGCTAACTGGATAGCCTTTCAGCCTTTACCGAAGAATGGCAATGTGTTTACTTCAGCCAGATGGCAAACAGCTACACAGGGAAGGCAAGGTTCATGCCAGCAGTCACAGAAAAACAACAAGAGCAGAGAAAAGCTTAACCATGGATGTTTTCAATGTTCCTGTTTATATGCAACTTCATACCCAGACCACCTCGGTTTTCCTCAGAGGTGTATCAGATTTGAAAGACTTTGACATGTTTTTTCACAAGACATTTTAGCCTACTCTCTCCCACAGACAGGCTGTAATGCTGATTACCTCACAAGAATACCACCATTTTGCAGACTAATACTTTCAGCGTACCGCCTTGTGCACCCAAGCTTCCCAACCAAGACTGAGCATCACTCTGTTGTTTGCAGGCACTCATGTTGCCCTGGCACATCCACATGGAAATCAGCTGCTACTGTAGAAAGTTGGTACTTTTCTATTCACTCATTACATTAAACAATTACAAAAGTATACAGAAAAAGGTTTGGAGGCCAAAGAAAATTTAGCTCTCACTTGGGGCCAAATCCTGTGATAAGCACTGCATGTTCAGGGAAACAGCTGGATTCTCATGGATTAACTTGAGAAGAGGCTCAGTTTGGGCACCAAGGGTAGCTGGAAATGTGGGGATTCATTCCAGCTCTGCAGAGGAGGCCTCTGCAGCAGGAACCTAGGTTAGAGCTGGCGTGCCCGAGGCTGCAAGAGGCACTGTGTTTATCCTGGGGACTTTTACCTGTGAAGCAGCAGAATCTTCCTGAGCATCGAGTGCTTTAATCTGCCTTTTGAAGAGCTCAATCACCGCGTCATAAACGAGCTCATACTGCTCCTGCATTCCAGACAAATAAGAGAGACATGAGAGCCAGTGCCTGCAGCACCTGTAAATGGTCTCCTGTTACCCAAATCAAGCATCAGCCCCTGAGAGAAGCTGCCACTTTCCAGTCCATTGGCAGGGTAAATTCTCAGAAGAGGTAGAAGCCACAACTTTCAAAGGGTTCAGACTGAAGCATTTAGGGGTTTTTTGGGTGCACAAACAACGCTGTTCTGCATTGAGCTTCCCCTTCAGTCTATCTCAGCTGAGAAGAGTTCCCACTTCATTTCCTGGACGATCCCTTATTTCACAGTGTAAGCGTTCAATAAATCAGAAAGCAAGCACTAAGCTATTCCAGCTGTCTACAAGGAAATGGTCAGCTACCAAATTAATTTCTGCAAAAACATTCTTCTGTTCAGAAAAGGGACCTTACAGAACATTGACATGTCCTAGTTCCCAGCAGCACAACCGCTCTGTGCTTCCTTACTGCAAACCCTCCTGGGGGAAAGCTGAAGTCCCAGCACGGAGAGTATAACAGTTGGCGAAATTTCCCAGAGGTACCTTGGTCTGCACGATGGAAGGCCTCTGAGTGCGCATTTCCTGGATCAGACTGAAGATACTGAAGTTCACTGGAACAATCTTGCAAGACAGAAAAAAGACAAAAAATTACAGACAGGTCTAATTCCAAGCAACTTCCAAGTCATGATGCAGTTTAGAGCAGTGTCCAAAATTCAGGCCTGCGATTGCAAGAATTTTCAACAAAGGACCTGCTTAAAGTGCTGGGTTTTATTATGAATCAGCTTGCCTCCTCCCTCCTATCTTGCGTGCCACAGCAAATACCCTTTTTATAACAGCATTGGTAGCAGCTGTGAATAGCACAAAAGACGAGACACTGATTTCCCAGATCAATGGGTTCAGGGTTGCTGTGGCACGGAAAGCAGACACTCCTCTGAGTCCCAGCAACCTGCTGCAAGGCTAGGGATTACTTCACATACATTGCTATTGAAGAGTCAGAGTAAAGCAAGGTGTTAGTTTGGAAACGCTGGACTTCTGGTGCCTAAGTGTGGAGGGACAAATATAGACAGCAAAGTCATATTGAAGACCGAAGGGCAGCGCAGAGCCAGGCTCGGCGGTCTGCAGGTCCTGCCAGAGGGAGCAGGGGGAGGGAGGATTCATCCCCGTCGGTGCAAGCGCCGGGGGCTTTTCGCATCGGGATGGGGAGGGGAGCCGTGGCCATGGGCAGCGCACGGATGATGCCCAGCCCAAAGAGAGGGGAGCAGCACAAACTGGGGATGGGGTATCAGCGGTTTGGCCACCATCGTCCTCCAGTCAGGCTGCAGGGAGCTCCCACGCATGGCGGTCAGCTGGAACACGCCTGCGAGCAGTCGGGGGCGGAAGGGAGAGTGCGGGGGCAGCGAGGTGGGGGAGAGACGCAGCGCTGCTGCGGGCAGGCGCCGGCTGGAGACGCAGACGGGGCTGACACTCACTCCGTCCTTCAGCAGCTTCTGGGTGTAGTCGATGGCGCAGATGACTCCTGTTCTCCCGCAGCCAGCACTGCAACGACAGGCACAGCAGGGTTGCTAGCAGAGGATGGCCATGCTGTATTTTCTGACGAGGTTATTTGAAAAAGATCCACAGCCTCCCGTGGGCCTCCCCTCCCGCAATGGGGAGGGTGCAGACCCGCACGACGGCCCTGCTGCGGCTGCACCCGCCCCACGCGAGGCTCGAGCTGCCCCCAGCTCTGCTGCCGGCTGGAAGGCTCATCCCGTGCTCCTGCGAGCAGCTCGGTCCCGGTGGTGACCGGCCCACGCTGGACATGCCCAGGGTTGGTGGTCTCTTAACTTCACCTGGTGTCGCTGGCCTGCTGCTACCCCCCCTCCTCCCCGCAGCCGGCCGTGCTGCCTGTCCCCGGAGGACACCTTTGCCTCAGGACTTGCTGCGAGAGGAGCGTGGCCGCAGGCTCGTGCCGCTGCCAGCCCTGCTGCGGCCGCCCGGGCAGCGGGGGCCGGGGGCCACCAGCCCTCCCCGGCGGTGGCCGGGTCACCCACCTGCAGTGGATGCAGACGGGGATGCTGTCGTCTGGCTGGTAGCAGCGAATCTCGCCGATGAGCTCCAGGATGGGGTCGATGGACGAGGGGACGTCGTGGTCCGGCCAGTTTTTGTAGTGGAACTGGTGGACGGTGCGGGTTCCCTGCAAGAGGAGAAGGGCGCGGGCAGGGGGCCGTGCCCCCGGGGGGGTGCTGCTGCGGGTCCCACGGGTGCAGGCTGGGACGTCGGCACGGCAAGGGGAAGCCGGCGTGCTGCAGACACCCCGGTTCCCGCCCGCATCGCCAGGCCAAGGCCAGAGGTGCCGTTTGCCGCTGGTTTTGCTATAAAAGCAGCATTGCTGCGTTATGACGTTCTTGGCCTCCCACTTACCCGGGGTCTGACTTGCCATGACTGACAAAGAGTTTCAGAAATTGAGGTTTAAGTTAATTAATTTTTTACCTTCTTTGTTCCTTCAGCTACTGTCAAATCTAAAATAGCAGGCTGAGGATTGTAAAATTTTCTGCACAAAGTGTGCCATATTTTAATATATTATTTATATAAAAAAGCTAGCCAAGATGCATTTCCTGCCTTGACCTTTCTTACTTACCTCATTCAGGGTCACCTTTAAAGTTCTAATCACATACTCATTCTTCTTCTCTTCAGCTTCCTGCAGAACAAGAAGTCAGAGTCACACTTTCTGTGGGTGACGTGAGTTTCCAGCACACGTGATGTGGCACGGTGCTGGCGGCAGCTGTACTCACACAGGCGATGGAGAAAGGACCACACTGCAGGGGAGAGCCATCCGCCTCTGCCCAGTACCGCTCGCATTTCTTCTGTTGCGAGAAGCAAGACGCGTTTGGTTATCCCCCCAGCCCACCCGCCCTGCCTCCTGTCCCGCTTCAGGCGGGGAGGAGGCCCAGCTCCAGCCTCCCCTTCCCTGGAGCCCCCATTGCTGGGCTTCCCCTTCCAAAGAGGTTAGCTACACTACTGGAAAGGGCTTAAGAATTTGCAAATGGAGACTCAGGAAACAGCTCTTATCAAACAGAAACTCACTGTCACTAATGCGATTTAGTAAAAATCTGCATCTCTCCACCCTGCCCTGGCACTGTCACAGCAGAGGCCATCTCTGACACGTTACTCACCTTTCCCATTTCAAACTCCATACAAGCCATGACCACAATCTGCAAAAGGAAGGTTCATTAGAAAAGTCTGAACACAAGTTTCTTATCCAGGCAGCAAACTCAAACTCATCGCTTGGGGGTACTGATCAGCAATGAGGAAGTTCTGCGGGCTGCCGGGCAAATCGGACTCGGGACATCACCCCCAGCCTGGGCGCGGGGACCTCTCCCTCTGAGCGCCCGAAGGCACAGGGAGCCACGAGCAGACTCCTGGCGCAGCACGAGTGTGGAGGAGGCTCACGGGAAGGATGCAGGTCACACACAACTTGTGGAGTAAAAACCTCCCTCTGTCTGCTTGTGGAGTAAAACACTCTCTCTGTCTGCTTAGTCAAAAAGGACTTCTGGCTGGCTGTACGGACAACTTTTCTTTTTAAAGCAAAAAAAGAAAGGCATATAAATCTGCACCTTACCAGGACTTCATACTCCCAAATCATCCTCCAAAAGTCAATGACAGTAGTGGGGAGAGGACCCTGGGTTGCAATGTATGCTCTTGGCCCATAGACGCCCTAAAACAGCATTCAAATCAGACATGGAGACATCTTTGCATAGTTCACTAGCAGAAATAAAGTCATTCCTCTTTCTGAATCTCATGTCTATTCAGTGAGCCCATTAAGGATTTAGAAAGGCTTTTCTATAGTCAAATTTTAGGCACCTACATTAAATTAAACAACTGGAAACCAATGGTGTGCAAACCTCCCAAAGGCAGACCCAAGCCAGGGAGCTGGGCTTGAGGCGAGATCTGCTCCCAGAGACCAGCTCTCGCAGCGCATTTGGGAGCTCGGAGGTGATGGTGCAGCAGCCAACCCAGCTCTGCAGAGTGCAGCTCAGCACTTCTGTGGCTGTTGGCCAGAGAAAGAGCTGCGGCCCCCTTGTGAAGGTCTGCTCTGCAGAGGGGTCACACAGAGCTCAGTCACTACGGTGGAGAACAACGGAAAGCTTCTATCTATCTGTCTGTCTGTCTGTCTGTCTATCTATCTATCTATCTATCTATCTATCTATCTATCTATCTGTCTATCTGTCTGTCTATCTGTCTATCTGTCTATCTGTCTATCTATCTGTCTATCTATCTATCTATCTATCTATCTATCTATCTATCTATCTATCTATCTATCTGTCTGTCTATCTGTCTATCTGTCTATCTGTCTATCTGTCTGTCTATCTGTCTATCTGTCTATCTATCTATCTATCTATCTATCTATCTATCTATCTATCTATCTATCTATCTATCTATCTATCTACCTACCTACCTACCTGTCTGTCTATCTATCTATCTACCTACCTATCTGTCTATCTGTCTATCTGTCTATCTATCTATCATCTGTCTATCTATCTATCTATCTATCTATCTATCTATCTATCTGTCTGTCTGTCTGTCTGTCTGTCTGTCTGTCTACCTATCAATCAATCCATCAGAGAAGGGTCATGAGCCCAGGAGAGTCCCGGAGCAGGTGGAGCTCCTGATGGAGAGCCAGCCCGCGCTGGCCCCCCCGTTGCCCAGCGCCGCGGCGGGTCCCCGCTCTGCTGCACTGCAAGGCTTCCTGCCTGCACACTGCTCTCAGCGAGGCCGTTCTGGCCGCAGGCAGTTTTGCACCACTGTCACCCACCAAAGGCAGTAACGCCGACAAGGAAGCCGGGGCTGGGAGCCACAGACTGTTCCACCGCCCGCCCCAACACGAGCACACTGGTGCCTCTGTGGTGCAAGAGGCGTTTTTGAAGGGCTCACGTATTGCAAACTTCTTTGCATCAGTTATCCTGGAGCACAGCCCAGGAACTACCGGGCAGTCCCCTCACTCACCACAGCCACAGGACCTGCTCCTCCCGGCACAACTCAACCAGGCAGCACTACAAACACCTCTGCATGGCAAAACGCCGTGAAAGAAGCAATACCTTGATGAAGTTGGCATTGATGTAATGAGAATCTGCATCTGATGTGATCAGGGACAACTCCACTCTGCTGTGGTCAACTGCAGGCACAAAAGCAGAAGGAACGGCAGTTACCGTTTGTCTTTCATGGTGGTTGAGCTCCTCAGACTGCAGCACAAGGTGCTTTGGAGGAGCACATACATCAGAGAGCTCATCCCAGAGCAGATGAGCTGTGCAAGCAGCTAATGCCCCCCCTGCACCTACCGACAGCCCTGCACAGAATCGCCATCGCCTCCATGCGAGCAGGAGGCGGGCAAGCTCCCTTCCCCGCAGTGGTGAGAGCCCAGGCAAGAGCTGCAGATGCTGCCCCCCCCCAGTGCAACGCCGGTCTCCTCCGGCCATGGAGCGAGTCAAGCCTGGAGTCACCCTGCATGTTATCTTACAGGCTCAAATGAGGTCTGTGGGTTTAGATTTTTTTTTTTTTTTCTCAAGCTAGAATAGATAAAAGGGGCAATCTGTCCTCATCCTAGCACAGAATCTTCTTTGGAGACTGCTGCACCAAGCCAGGACAAGCCACAACAGCTTTTAACTGTCGTCTGCTTTGTACATCATGGAAATGTCTTTGTCCAAAGCCATTCCCTACAAAGCCTTGGAAAACAAGTGGTTGCAATAGCACCCAGAAAGCTTGCAAGGATAATCATTAGAGGATGTGTTTCCTAATGAATAGAAGTTCTGTCTGTAGAAAATACATGCCAAAGTCTTCCAAAGCATGCACGGCAACACTCAGAGATAAAGCCTTAAATCTGAACAGCAGAATTCAAAGCTAACTGACAGCCAGAGGTATGCTCGCATGCAAGCAACCGTGGAGGCAGATGCTGGAGGATGAGAACAGACTCGAACTAGAAAAAAACAAAAGGCTGAATAGGAACATTTGCCATTTCCAACCTACAGGGTAAGATGTCCTTGTATCTGTTCTTCTTTATGTTCTCTGGTTGCTCAGATGCTGCTGTAGGATAGATTTTATCCAATCTGTATTTTGTTGACTGCCTTTTCAGCTTCTGTGATAAAAGAATGGAACAAATTACAGATGTGCTACATACAGCACACTACTAGAGAGTACAAGTGAAGGTCTCTAGGGGTCAGGTTCACTACCACAAAGCAAGGTCTGCACCATTAATTCTTTCCTGAGTGGCTTTTCTCAAGGTACTCAGAGCAAGAATAGAGATAGCAGCCACCTGAGAGCCCCACCACAGGCTTCTGAGGAATGGAAAGTGTGTGCTGAGGTAATGCCCACACAAGGCACAGGCACGTAGGCTTCTGAAGTGACATGATGCATTTATACAGCACATAAAAACATCACCCTCACAAATAAGTGAGACACAGGGGAATCACTCGCAGTATAAATGGCACCCAGATAAGAGGAGTAACAATGTTAAACCACTTTTAACAAACTGTATCAGAAAAGACGGATAAGCCAATTGATTTTTCTCCCTTTGGTAAAGATGCGCCCATCTGTAGCTGCAAACGGCAGTGCTCAAGCCACTAAAGGAGCACAAGCACTTGGAGCAAAGTAGTTACATGCACTGATGGAAGAGAAAGGAGAAGAAATCCTAGGATAGACCCTTAGGCGTATGAGTCTCTCATCTCTTTCATTTCCAGGATAAAGCTGCAGCAGAGAGACTCCTGGAGAGTTAAAGTATCTTTTTCCTGCCAAAGCACAGAATTTTATTTCACTGACATCAGCTTCTAAATGACACACACTGTTCGTTACCCTGAACTTCGAAAGCACCATTCTTGCTGTATTTTTTCTCGAATATTTTTTCCTCTACCTAACCTTCTTGCCAACAAGGGGTGCTTTTGATTGAAAACAAAAGGACATTTCTCTCATCAGTGTTCCTATGGTTTGACACTGCGAAGGACAAGTCTCCCTTTCCCACCACCCTGCAGCCATACCTTCACAGCCCCTCTTCTGGACATCACTGCCGGGGGCCCAGAGAATCGGGCTGACACGGGAGAGCCCTCAGGGTCGTGTGCCTGTAGGAAAGGAAGGTGTGCCGGGGCGAAGGGAAGGGGCGGGGGGCACGCCTGAGCTGCAAGGTGAGAGGGTTTCTCCTGCCTGGTGTGACCCGCCTGAGCTGCTGGCAGGAGATGGGGACAGTGGCTCACGAGGCAGGGAAAACCAGCCCCCTGGTCTCGGGGTCACCAAACGAAAATAGCATCGTGGCCGAAGGGGTTAGTGCCAAGGGGGCGGCAGTTCCTGCTGCTGGGACTGGCAAAGCCCTCCCCGGCGTGCTCGAGGGCTCGGAGGCTGCAGCCCTGGCACAACAGCACGTGAGCAGGAATTGCAGGAGTCCTGACGGTTTCAGGGCCCTGATTTTTGGGTGCTCACCGTAAATCACTTCGAGAGTCAGCTCACCAGTGACCTTCCCACGGGCGCTCCTAAGCATCTGTGTTTCAGCTCTCCCAAAAGTTCACATCCAGTTTTGAGAATCCTGTCCCCCCGTCCTTCCTTGCTGCAGACCCAGCAAATTAGCAGCTGCAGGAGGGCTGCAAAGCTCCCCTTGACTCCACCCTGCTCTAGACAAGCACCCACTAAGACACAGCACCCTCCAGGGCCGGCATGCACTGAGCTCCAGAATGATGATATTTGCAAAAAGCCACATCAGGAGCTGGAGGGCTTTGTAGCTTGTACGTACTTGACCAAGCCAAGCAGCCCCTTGGCAATACTGCAGATAAAAGGTGTACACAGCAACATGTATCTCATCTCCACAGTATTTCTGTGCAGATACTCCAATTCAGATCCAAGCCAGAGTTGCCATTTTTTAACATTAAACCGCAATTTTTAACCTGTAAATTCTGCTGCTCTCCAGCTACAGTACCGCAGAGGTCACATCTCACTGACTTGGATGGAAAGAGTCAGGGAGAAGGTGCAGGAGGCCCAGGACAGCCCACGTGACCAGTTTCTATTAATCAAGAACATGAGGACAGGCACAGTGTGATAGAAGTTGTGGGAGCAGGATGTTTTTTGTAGACTACATGTCCCTGTAACCTTCTGAGCTCTTCTGGTGTTGGTCACCTCCTCCCCTTGCCTCCTTCCAACTCCAACTTCCAGGGTAAGCTTTCTTGGAAGGGGCATCACTTAGTACTGAAGCCAGTCTTGTAGCTGAGGTTCTGAATCACCTTACTTTTCTGTCCCTACATAAACTGACATTAAACTGCTCGGGAAATGTCTGCATATGAGAAAGCGAGCGAGAGCAGTGAGGATCAAACTCTGGCTGTGAGACGGCACAAACAGAAAAAGGGGACTTAAACAAAAAACCCTGTCATTTACAGTAGGAACACCACAATTTTCATGTAAAAATGCTTGTTCACACAAAACGAGGAGAGGCATCGGGATGGAGAAAAAGCATCGAATATTTCTACGAAGTTTGGAACTGCAAGCTGTCACAGTTGCCTGTTAAGGCTTCTGCACTGGCAAAAGTGGCCAGCAACTCAGCCATTCTGGGAAGGTCTCTTCCCAGTAAAAGAGGAATCGCAGCCTTGACCACTTCTACCTGCCATTTTGGTCAGAAAATTAACCGTACGCTTGGCTGCTAGAACTAGCCCATGCACCAGTGCCTCGCACGGCGCAGCAGTGAGCGGGGGAAATTCAGCAGCCTCTGACAGCACCTTGTTCCATGGAACAACAGACTGTCACTACAGGCTCAGATTAATCACTTCCCTCCAGCCCAGACACCTGGAAACAAAACACTAAGCTTTTCCCAAGTGTTTGAAGTGCCAGTCTTCACTGGTATGACAAAGCAGGGCTGGATCTCATGGGGGCTCCTAAGCAACCCCTGCACCTTCCCCAGAGACCACCGCCCGATGCAACCCCTGTCCAGGGGGTAGCTCGGGGCCGCTGCTCATCCTGGTGTCGGAGACATCTCAGATCTTGCAGATGTACCGGTTTTATCCTTTCCTGTGTCTGCTGAAGCTGGGCAATGTCTTTGCTTCTCAGAGCAGCCCAGACAGCCTGCCAGAGCAGCGTTCCTCCAGCTGACACATCAACAGCCATCGCCAGCCACCAGCTTTAACTGTGAGACAGGGGGCTGCCATCTCAGACTCACCCCTGCCACCCAAACAAGTAAAAAGATGGAAAGCTCGCAGATCGGGGCACTGCACGGATCTCAACCAGCCAGATGCTACAGAACACGGCGGGAATTGAGAGCCATCAGTGCTTTTGGCGAGTTTCGCCTTGAGGGAGCAAGAAATGGATTGCCAGGAGGGGCCAGAAGCGCCGCTGGCCCGGGAGCACACGCACCAGCCCTCCCGCCGGAGCCAGCGCAGCGCCGGGGGCTGGAGGGGCGGCCCGGCCCCCCCCAGGTCACCGTCCCCTCCCGCCCCGGCCGAGGAGCCCGGTGTCAATGAGGGGGGCGACAGGCCGGAGTGCACCGGGCATTTCTCGAGGGGTGCAGGGCGGGGGGGTCCTACTGAAAAGAGGAGCAGCTGTGCCAAGCAGCAACCAGAGATCCCTGACAGAGCACGTGCCACAGATGTAACAGGCTGCAGGGGGGAGAGGGGGCAGTGGCTCCGTGCTCCTCACGGTACCCCCACTCGTATTGCCAGGCGAAGCGAAACTGTGTCTTGTCGAATGCATTCGCAAAGTAGAAAACAGGAAGCACTCGGGTAATTATTTAAAAAGCAAACAGTTTTAGTTTTAATGCAAACTATTAAATTACTCTTCTATCTTTACATCCCTTTTACCCCAGTTAACTCTTGTGTCTCTTTCTGACGTAAAATTCATATAAAATCTTATTGCCACATGGAAATCACGTCTCCGTTTGAGAAGTGACTGCGCGGTACCCTTTAAAATCCGCTGAAGCACAGAGCTGTGCCTTAAGCGAACTTACCAAAAACTCGTCTACAAACTCTTCCCGGTTGAGCTTCTTGCCTTGGGCCCTTTCCAGGTTCTGCTGCAGAATCTCCCTTTGGTCCATGCTGCCGGAGACCGAGCGTGACTGGCCTGCCGAACCTGGGAACGGACATGTCAAGTGCGTGCCGCAGCGGAAAGCACCAGCCCGGAGAGCTCTCGCGGCAGGCTGTGGTTTACTGACTTCATCACAAGTCCTGAAGGAAATTAGTACGTAACAGATATTGTGGTCAAATAACAAAACAAAACACACAACCTGGGGCCCCAGCGCCTCCTTTTAAAACCGCGGGCAGCAGGGACAGGCGGCACCGAGCTGCCCGGTCCTCGCGGCTGCTCCCGCGTGCGCTGTGCCACAAGGGCAGATCGATTTTGGGGGCCAGAGCTGAGCCCCCCGGGATCTGACTGCCTGCGGCACCGTGTCCCACCGTCACACAGCTGGGGGGGTGGGCACAGGGGGGTGGGCACAGGGGGGCAGCCGCCCGGCACCCCCAGCTGCGCGTCGCTGCCAGGCTGGGGGCAAGGCTGCAGGCTCAGAATATGCTGCGACTAGAAGAGCCCCTAAAACAGCGTGCAAAACCCAGTTCCTCTTCACACTTATAACTTAGCCTGTTTTCCACGTTAACTGCAAAATATTTTGGAAGAATACTTCAGGCAGATGCTGAGCACCTGAACCTGGCTTGCACGTGTTACTCCCCTGAACTGCACAACCGCTTCTGAACAGAGAAAACCTAGCAACATGCTTCAGGTCAGTTCTTCCAGCCACAATTCCCCACATCTGGTAGCTTGTGCCAGAAGAAAGGGTCAAATCTGACTCCAGTAGACTGTGGAAATCAAATTAATTATGCCAGCCTAATTCACCTCACTCACTCTCAGTAACACTTACAGGTACTCTAAAAAACCCCATTGGACAAAGTGGAGGTCATTCTAAAGTGGGAAGGAGATGCTGAGAGCAAAATTCTCAAAGGCCATCCATTTTCTCTACTTGCAGAAGTGGGGAAACTAAACTAAACAAAACAAAAAACAACCACCCCCCAAAACCAAAAAAGGTATGGGAATCACAACCTTGGTCTTTCCAATATCTCCCATCTGGCACAAAGTCTTCAGACTAGCTGTACCAACTCTGTTTCTCTTTCTGATTGTAACTAGAGCCATTAAATGGATTCCCCTTCTGTGTTTTCTTGCAGATGGGGTACAGAATAACTATAAGATTCCCATATCCAGTTGCTGAAAGGCAAAGGGCTGCTGATCACTCTGAAGGAGCCATCATTCTTAGTTTACAATAATGTGAAATGTTAATTTTTCAAAAATAAGCCTTTGAATCACCTGAGAGGAACTGGGAGGTCTTTAAAATAACTAATGGAAACATGTTTTAAAAGAAATATTCACCTGATGAGTCTCTGGCACTAAGCACAAACATAGAAACCTTGAATAAGACTGAAGCCCACTTTTACGGTTAAATTTAAGAGAAATACAAATAGAAAAAACAATAACATCAAACATTTAATAATTTTTGTTTGTAGTGATACAGAATCTCTTTTACACAATGCTTAAGCGTAGAGTTCTTCATGAAGTCTCTGGAAGAAGTAAAACAGCATTTCTCCTGGTTAAGTCAATGAAAAGCTGAGCTTCACCTTCTGGAAAGCAGCATAGCCCTTTCTCAGTTGTCCAAGTTCTCCTGAAAACCAACAAAAAACCCCGTGTGTATATGTTTTAGAGAAAGAATTCAAGCAGGTTGAAGGAACTGGCAGGAAGAGAAGGGTGTGGGATGGAGGGACGAGCGAGCTGCCTCCCACTGCGACCCTCTCCCAGACCGCTTGCGCCCCTTCCCCCGGTAGAACGCACCGAGTGGGGTCTGTGAGGCTGCGTGAGCGGGACGGCGCTTTTGGCCCAGCCCATCCCGCGTTATTTTGATTCTCATCTAAGAGAGCAAGCTGAGCTCCCAAGATACTGAGATCAGGAATTAAACACTGAGACAGAGAAGCAGGTGGGAAGTTTGATGGTGGCTCCAGCAAGAGTTCACTGAGGTGTTTAGCAAAGCCGTGCTCCCACGGCAGAATTAGCTGGTGCGCACGTGGGGGGGACGCGCTGGGTGTCAGTGACCAGCCGAGCAGGGCGGGTGGGAGAGGTGACAGACACAAAGGAAGAGCCATAAATGCCCAGGCAAATGTCACCACAACCTTCACACCCTTACCCATCCGCCACAGGCCTCAATGTAGTTTCTCACTTGAGAATTTCCATTAATCATTGTTATGAGTTGGTTGGGATGCACCTTAGCTGGGACTTTCTTAGCAACATGTATCATCAATTTCACCGAAATACAGAGAAAAGCTCGCTCATAGCCCAGCTCGGGGTTCTGGTCACTCCACCTCCTGATGAGAAAGTCGACGGCAGCTGAAAACTTCTCCATCTGCAAACATCGAGAGGTCAGTTTGAACTTTTTTTTAAATGACAGCGCGATAAGTAATTCTTGGCTCAAAAGCCAACGTTCAGTCAAATTCCTACATTTGCTTTTTCTACCCGTGACCAGAGCAGGAGACCCCACGGCTTCCTGGTGACCCCCGTTCAGCGTGGGCTGCTCAAGGCAGGGCTCTGCTTCACTGTGGCTCGTGCAGACTGCGGTCGCAGGACTGGGGAGGACAGCCCAGTCTGACCAGAACCACGACGGACCTGAGGCCAGAGCTGCCGGCAGCACTCGGCCAGAAGCGTGCTGGCCCACGAGCTCCGGCCGCAGCGCGGGCTGGAGCCAGATCCCGCAGCAGGCTGGAGAACACGCTCTGCTCCGCTCACCACAGTCTTCCTCCTTTCCCCCCCGCACACCAGCTGCCCCCACCAACGCCGGAATGCGGAGCGTCTCCCGCAATGATAGGCTGGCCCGGGCAGCTCCGCGGCTTCTGGGGTTACAAAAAGCTGCTCCTTTGGAAGAGAGGAGGAGAAAAGGCAGCTCCCCGCTCCTTGCCCGACTCCTGTCCCGGTAGCTGGCGTGCTGCCTGCGACACAGAAGCGAAGGGGGGGGGGGGTATCGTGCCCCCTCCCCGCAGCCCCCCTGCCTCCCGCCGCGTACGCTGCACCGCTCCCCAGGCTTCTCCCGTTCTCAGGCATGAGGCGACACGAGGCTGGCCTGCAGAGCCAGGCAGGACAAGGCGAGCATTTTACCTTTCCCTTGAGCACTTCAGCAAGAGCCTCCGAGGAAACCCTTTCAAAATCCATGTTGCACTGGTCCCCCATCCGCCGCAGGCGACTGGCGATCACGACTGGGTCAAAACTGGTTGGAGGCTGTGCCGCGGACTGCACCAGCTCTAGAGCAGAGAGCAGGACAAGGGCTTTCAGCATAATGCACTCAAGACCAAGGAAGAGAACCCCCCCGGCAGCCCAGCCTCCTTAGCTGCCCCCAGCATCCAAAACGCTGCTCTCGGCGGGTGCTGTGGCGGTTACTGCCTCGAGCACTCGGAGGTTAACGCAGGACAGACCTCCGACCCGACACATTAGGAAATGGAAAACCAAAGTCCCTGAGAAATATCATGCAGCCATTCAAGTATTCATTGATTTACAGGGACCAAGGGGCTCCGTACCATGGGTTTGTCCAGGTCACTTTCCTCCCACCTTGGTTGCTTCATGCTCAAGTCTCAGTTCATCCCCCCTCCTGATTCTCCAAGGGCACCCCAAGGCCCCTCTTTCACCCTTCCAGGCTCTGGCAGCTCCTTCCTCCCAGGCTGCCAGAACCAAGCAAGGAAGGTGTGCTGCTTTTGGCTGGGATAGAGCTAATTTTCTTCACAGTAGCCAGAATGAGGCTACGTTTTGAATTTGTGCTGAAAACAGTGCTGCTAATACAGGGATGTTTTCATTAGAAATGAACTCTTAAGAATTATGGTAACAAAATTAACTCTCTCCCATCTGAAACCAGGACAATACCCACCCCTTATTCTATATCACTTACGTCATGCCCAGGTCCCACACTTTCCAGTACATCCCAATTAATCACCAGCACCTTCCTTGTTTCATAATATATACACACAGATATCGTTCCCGCAGTTTACGGGCCACCCCTATAAAGTGTCTGTTGAGTTCATTTAGTTCATGACTTTGGGCTCCGGCTGTCGCAAGTCTGTGTGGGCAGGAGGGATGGTGTGAAGTCTGCTCAGTCAGCAGCACAGGACCGGGCTGCGGTGCGGGCGGGCGGGCGACGTCGAGCGCAGCAGGATGAGGGTCGGTGGCGTTGGATGGTTGCGTGCTGAAGTCAGCTCTGGTTCTATCACTGCCGTGCTTCGCTCGGTTTTATCAAAGTAAAGCTCAGAGGAGCTGGAGAACATCCCACCTCTCTCCTCTGACTGCGGTGGCACAGCGGCATGGATCAGATGGCAAAGTCCTGCCCGTGTTCGCCCTGCATTTCGAGTCTGCAGATCACCACATGCAGTCTTCAGAGAACTTTGATATTATACTCAAGGTCTCTTCTGAGCAAGTGCAAATTGCAACATTTCAAAGTCTCACAGTGACCCAAATTGAGGAAGGTTTTCACAAAGGAGTAAAAGGCACACTTCACAAACTTCAAGTATGTAAAACCGTAAGAACTTCTCAGCTAACCTACTTAAAGGGTGGGGGGGGGGGTGGGGAGGAGCTTGTCAGTTAAAGCACTTTTGCTTTAAAGTATCCTGAGGGGGGAAAAACCATTTTTTTTTCCTGAATATTACTAAAACAAGATTCAGCCAGAAGGAACTGACTGACACTCAGAGTCTCAGCAAAACCATTTCCACGTTTGACAAAGTCATAAGGAACTGAAAGCAGGATCTTTCGACAGAAAGTGGTGGGTGACTTTATCTGGCGGCATCGCTTCCTGATCCAACCCCCCTCCCTCATCCAGCGGCGAATTCCAGCTCAGCTCCTCTGGTTCAGGTGCCCGCTCGGTGCCCACAGCCTGGGGCAGAAGCCCGCGGCCCCGGGGCGGTTTCACAGTGCTCAGGACAGCAGAGACAGAGGCACAAATGTCTCATCCAGGAGAGGGGAACCAGCAGTATGCTAATGGAAACTTGTTCTTTAGGCAAAATGGCAAACTTCCAGGAAGCTTTTGAGAAATGGAATTTGCTTTTTGCTTGCTATCTGGTGTTAGCAAGATCCCAGTGTCTCTTAGGACGTTTTAAGTAGTTTGTTGCCATGAAAATAATGGGAAAAGCAACATGAATACAGGTGAAATTCTGAGTTTCTTGCAGCATTGTCCAGCAAACCTAAGCAGCCAAAATGATATTGGGAGTTTGGGAAGCAAAGACCACATTCTGTCTTACACGTTAAAGCAACTGTTTTTATCGAATGAGCGGTACGAGCTTTCTTTTCGACGATGACAGCTAAAACTCGTCCCAGGCTGCTGGTCTGGAGCAGGGCCGGGCGTGCGGGGCACAGCGGCCGGCAGCACCTTCCCCCGGCCCCGCCAAGGCAGGCTGCAGCTTCGGGCTCCCCCGCATTCAAACTCTGCTTTTCTCTGGCTTTTCCCCCAAACCAGAGACGGCTTGGAATCCTCACAAGCCTGCGTGTCAGGAAACCCAACAACCCCAAGCTACGGCCGCCTTTAAGTGTTCAGTCGAAATGCTCCTCCACCACCTGCAGCAGCAAAACCCATTTTTCCTCCCACAAGAGCCCTCACCTCCCGAGTCTGTCTCCAGGCTCCGGCAGACGCTCTCATCTTCCCCCAGGAGGTCGGAGAACAAGGCTTCCACAACGCAGGCGGTCTGCTCCTCGAAGGTGGCCATCGCAGCCCGTCGCCCCGCGGCCGCTGCTCCTTCCAGGTGAGCTTTGACTCTGGATTTTGGCTTCCTTTTCCCAGAGCTGCACAGGTTCTTCCGAGAAGAGCATGACCCCAAACTCCTCCCCGGGACAGCACGGTATGCCAATATTTGCTCTCAACTGTTGTCATTCAAGCTATGGGTGTGGTTTAGTTTCAAAATGTCATGTCTGTTAAGAACAACTGAAATAAAAGTTATCAAAGGCTGCTGACCTCTTCACTCATCGAGAAACAGGACTGGATAAAAAGCTGGAAGCTCCAAGTCACACCCCAGACAAAGACTAGACTTGGTGTAGCCACAGTGGAGTAACCGATAGCTTGCCAACATGCTGTCAGCTATTTTTTTCTGAAAACCGCATGCCAATGCTCCAGTGCAGCTCTCCATAAGGACGGGAATAGTGTATGCATAAAGGCGCTGGAAACTGCTAATAGGAGCCCTGCTGCAGCTGACTTCTTATCTACCTTTGAATTCACCTGTAGGTCGCTCACCTGTTACAGTAATTTGGCATATGAGACTGAAATTAATTATTGCACAATTGCTCCTTAAAGCCCTGCTTCAAGAAAGTCGAGAAAAGCCCCGTCTGACACAGAGGCAGGAGCTGGACTGCAGTTCTGTTTGGACCCACAGCCGTGATCAGATGACTCCATCCCCAAACTTCAGAGCTGAACAAACAAAAACTCCAGAAAACAGCCAGGAATGTTTCACATTTTTATTAGGAAAATCAGAAATAAAATCTAAAACCTGTTGTTTAACAGTGACAGCAGTGTTTCAGTGAAGTGCATGGAAGGGATATTGCAATTTAAAGGTACAATAGTCATTAAAAGAAATTTAAAATGACAAGAAATCTTACAGAATAGGGTTAACAAAGCCACTCCTTACAGAATACCATAAAGCCCTGTTAGAGTAACCTATGTACCTCAACCTTCTTCAGTTTTACCACTGTGTACAACATGGCTGTGACTCTTCATGACACTGTACAAAGTCTGACTCCCCGTAACCTTCAATAGAGCGGATGGGAGTGCTGTCGACATGCTCTTCAAAAAACAACTCCCGAGGCTGGCCAGAGTATAACTTTAAAAACTGTAAAAAAAATTTAGTCAGATAGAGCTGCACCATCTCCTGTACTGAGCAGCACTGTCATCCCAGGGCAGGACGACAGTGCTTCACAGAAGGAAGTTCTACACAGAAAACAAACCTTTAAATACCCATACTTTGTAACTAGTACAAAGTAACAAACAGTAAAAATGGGTCCCAGCAAAAATGTAACATTTCATGCAGGTTAATTACCTGACCCGCAATTGCCCCCTCACTGGTGCAGGTACCAAGGCTGCCAGCCCCCCGGCCCGGGGGCCTCCATACCCCTGACTCTTCTTACAGGGACCCTGGCCACGGGGGGCCGAGGGGGGAACCCCAGCGAGGGCAGTTCATGACTACGGGAACACATTTCAATGAGAAAACACACTTCTACTTCTGTCTCGAGAAAGAAACATGCCTGTTCCAGTGAGCTCCATGTACCCTGTCCACCCATCGCTGACACTGCAGAGCTCTGTTCACTCACAAGTGAAGTGACTGTCAAAATCTATCAGACAGAAAACTAACTCACATGTAAAGAGAGCCAAGAACTAAATAATTCTCTTCACTGCAATGTTCCTCTTAATGTGAGGTAAGTAGCAGAGTCCTGGAGTCTCTGAACTGGTTTCTGAATTATTTACAATTCTCATTAAGAAAACTCTCCAAAACACATCCCTGAACTTTGCTCATTTCTGGTTCCATCAGTCACGTCAGTGTCTGGTGACAATCACTGCAGATGCCACCACTTCCGTGACTCCCGCATACCTTCCCTCGCCCTGTCCCCAGCCCACAGACCCCCCACCCAGCCCCACTCACCACCTGCAGCTGCCCCCACACCACATGTGCTTGCCAGGCCCAGGGAAGGGCTGCTAATGCTCCCGCTGCTTAACAGCACAAAACCAGCAGCAGGTATGGCAAATGAAGCCAGAGAAATACTTCCCCTATGCCCTGAGCAAGCATGCTTCTGGGAGCAGGGGCCAATCAAGACCCCAGTCCAGCAACTGCCCCCACGACTGTCCTTAACACCGAAATAAAGGTCTGCAGTGCCTCTGGCTTCGCCTCGCTCTGCTTCACTGAAACCTGCATCTCCGTATCCGCCGCCTCAAGCAAGAGCTCTGTTAGGAAGAGGCAACCCGCCTCATCCTGCGCGCTGAGATAAGCTTTCCACGGCTGGACACCAGCTTTGCTCATCGCAATAGTCTGGATGTGGACAACGTGAAGAGCTGTCTGTATGGTGTCTGGATGAACAGTCCCACACCAGGGCAGGGAGAGGTGGCAGCTCATGTCCAGGCTCAGCCACGTCTTCTCAAACTGTTCTGCAGTCAGGTAAACATCAGGAATTAAGGTCAGGCTGCCTGTATCAGGCTGAACCTTGAGGACTTCTGTATTCCCGTCAGAAACCAGTGACTCTGAAACAAAACCACACACATCTGAGATGTAGCATATAACGTGCAGCACCCAATTTCACCAAGAAGATCTTAGGGACCCCTCAGATGAGGAAGGCTGGAAATCACAGCAGCTTCAGCAGCATCCCCTGGGCTGGTGAGGTGGTGGTCAGCCATGCGTTGCACAAGCTAGAACACCAAGTCAGCATTCTCAAAGCACAGTGACCTTCTTCCAAAGAAAGCCACGTGAGAACATCTACTGACAAAGGGAAAACAAATCCCAGATGAAGGTGAGGCAGGTTACCTGTGTCTCTGTTCCTGGAGTCAGTACAAGGAGAACGAGTGTAAGAGGGTTCTGCTGGCTGGTGAGCAGCCACGAGTGCCCAGCATTCTCTGCCATAAACTGGTGCAAGAGTATTAAACTCTGAAGCCCATGTATTCACAGGTCGCTCGGTTTGGTCTTCGAGGAGCCCCAGAGAGGGGTCAGACTTGGGGCTACACAGGACCCGTTTCACTTCTTCCACACCAGACTGCAAAAGGCGATAGTAGAACAATCCACGGTCTCGTACTGCCATATCCATCTCTTCCTCTGGGAATGAGAGAGATGCAGTTTATGGAGAACTCGTATCATCCAGATTTCCCCAAAGTACTGACCCTTAATTACTAAAAATGGATGCTCAGGGATACAGTGTAAGCCTGTTACCCTCACCAAACAGACAGCTAGGGACCAATTAGCAGCCTAAGGCTTAAAGCCACCTTACCTCGCCATCCTGGATGGTCTCCTCATGGCTAGGGTGCTGACACACAGCACCCGTGCACTGGGGACACAGCCAAACCAGGTCCCAGAAAGCCTGTACTACAGCTCCAGAGGAACAGAACGGAGGGAACCCACCTATGCAGTAATAGAGCAGTCTCCCTAGCGTGTCCTGACACTCAGCAGGACGGGACAGGAAGAGTCGCACCAAGGCTGTCAGAAGCTCCATCTTCACTGCTGGGAACATCTCCGATTTCACATTCTCCACAAAGTCCTCTAAAACATAGGGGGCATTCTGTACTTTCTCACCATGTGTGCCCAGCAGCCAGATCAGCGCTTGCTTGCCCTGAAGGAACCGCAGAAAAAAATAGCAAACAGGTGCTGTTTACCAGAAAGGCAGCATAGACATGAAAGAAATGGGTATGAGAGAACAAGTCTTCTGAAGATTTCTGATCTTTGCCCACCAATCGCGAGCCAAAGGAAAGCCATACAACCGTTGTCCACCCACCCTCCACAGCCACCAGCCCACGGCACAAGGCCACCTCACCTCGCTGTCCTGGATGGTGTCCTCACAGCTAGGCAGTGCCCGACAGACCGCATCTGTGCACTGGGGACACAGCCAGACCAGGTCCCGAAAAGTCTGTAATACCGCTGCAACGAAACAAAACGCTCATTCCCCAAGAATTACAAAACCACTAGGGGAAAAACCCACATAATTCTGAAACACCCCAACTGACAGACTCTGCAAATCTTAGCTAGGGAGGTCAGTGCCTTGCTTGTGACTATGATTTGAGACACTCTTCGTCAAAGTCCTGTGACACTGTTTGTCAGAGCAAAGTTGCACCAAGTCTAAAATAAAGCACTGAAACTTCAGATTGTTCCTCTGGCTGCTGGAAAGTAATCTCTCTCCTGGACATTTCCCAGCCTTTAAAAAGACACTGACTCATGATGCTTCAGACACACAAGGTTAGAATGACAAATTAAAACTAAGACCAATTCAAAACGAGTCTCACAAACTTTAGGTCAAAATTTAAAGGTTCTGCTGCCCACTTACAGAAACATCAGCAGCTTCTGAGATCTAATTCAACAGCTGAGTACAAGCACGTGGTTTTCAAAACTGAAGGCCAGACCATTTAAACGAAGGGGCAGAAACAGCAAAGATAGGATGATAGATCTGAGGGCAGCAGAAGAGAAAGGGAAGACTGGGGGTACAACTGTCATTATATGAGGAACGGAAATCACAAAGATTTAAGAGATCTATTGATCATCTTGGCCCTCAAACAGTCACTAAAACGTCTCTGCCGAGTCCCTCGTTCCCTAAATCAGCAGGCAGCAGCCAGAAAGGAGCCTTCACATCCGACCAGGAATGCAGCTATGACCATCTCCCCCTTCACCACAAATAGTAGTTCCTAAGGAAGGAAAAACTACAATGTCCGGTCACACTACATACCCCCAACCCCAGCAGGAAGACTTCCATCTGAAGATGCCAATTAAATTAAAAGCCAAATGACTTTGACAGCCTTAAGTTTGGGATCACAAGCCCCAGCAAGGCCACTTCATGAAAGTATAATCCAGGCAAACAAGGTGCAGATGATTACCTGAAGTGATATGTTCCTGCTGAAGTCCCAGGAGCTCTGTCAGAATCCCCACGCACTGCTCTGTGTACGTCCTAGCAATATTGCCTGTGGAGGTGCCAAAGGACATAAAAGTCAACCTTTTATCAGAGTGAAATAGGAACCATGAGCCCAAATATTCATCTCAAACTCACTTTAAAGAAACAGTATTTCTCTTTTCCTTTTTGACTACAGTTTCTGAAATGAGCTTGTTCTCCTTACAAGGGATGTCTTCCTTTTTCTGAAGCCATGCCTCAGGGGGAGTCTGAATTTTTCTTGAATGTAACACGTAAGAAAGGCATTTTAGCATCCCTGGCCTTCTCCTTATGAATACTATAGTAACTTACCTATTTTAAAGCTTACAAAACCAAAACTGAAGTGCCCCAAATCACCTTACTCTGCTCCCACCACAACTCAAAGAACAAGCAGGTATTAGAGCAGCTCCTCCACCCACTACACAGTTTCACTCAATGCTATAAGGTTCATTAATAAGATGAAATGACACGATTTCTTCAGGGCGTCTCATCAGAGCACGGGCAACCGAACGAGATGCAAGGACATTATGCACAACTTGAAATAGTTCAGTGCCAGGACTTCTGAACAAATCAAGCACAAAGGTGGTTTAGAAACACACTCACACAAAACATTCCTGGGGAGGCTGGTCTACAGAGGCCTGTGCTGCTTCAGCACAGATCAGTTATGTGGCATTTTCCCTGACACACTGCAGCAGAGAAAGGTCCACTTTAAAGATCTAGGGTTGCAGCTGCTCCCGAGGCAAGACGCAGCTCTCACCTATGGCGAAGATCGCCCCTTGGGCAAGCTCTACCGATACGTCAGTGCAATAGCCCCTCAGCTCCTCCAGCACTTGCTGTACGTTTTCATCGTTCACCAGCTCACACAACACCTCCATCTTCTGGCATTTGATGTAGTGGGGCTCTGAATACGAACAAAAGAACTTTTTGTAGTGGCTGCTAAAATGGCCAGGAAGGCTGCCAAGGATCTGACGCACGTGGCACAGTGCAGTGAAGCAGAGCTCCCTGCTCTCAGAGGTGCAGGCAGACAGCAGCGGTCCCTTCACTCTCACTAAAACATCTGCCTGCACATGTGGGTACTCCCTGGCCAGCACTAGGAAAAGCTTGGTGGCTGCCATCACAACGCTGGCGCTGCTGCTTTTGAGACAGCCATCCAGTAAATTGAGTATGTCGAAGAGTTCCTCCTCACTGCGGGGTCTGTAACGCAGAAGGAAGGTAAGCACCTCACTTTGCCCCCACTGGTCCAGATCAGCCATCCTGCCAAGAGAATAAACACAGGAGTGTCTGCAGGAGTCAAGAAGTGCTCAGAGATCTGCGCGGTGCAGAGTGGAGGCCTTAGCCTCTGAGCTCCTTACGGTCTCTGTTCCAAACCAAATGCCATGCTTCAGAAGCAGATACCTCAATTTTATCTCAAGAGAATCGACCAGTTTATGCACACAGGCTTAACTCAGCATCAGCCATGTGCACTTTTGCTGGTGCTCTAAGCCAGACAGCAACACTGGCAAGAAACCTGGGCAGAGCAATACGCCTCTTTTGCTAGATCATGTAGAATTACTTGCAGAGAAACTAATTTATTCGAGCAATATTATAAGTCATATAAGGTAAGTTATATATCTTTCAATGGATTGGGAGAAACATACTAGAACATACCTGTCCCACAAATATATCACGTGCACTGACACAAAAAAAAAAGAACCCCAGAAAACCTAATCACATTAATGTACAATTCCAAAACAAACCACCAGCTGAAGCAAAGACTCCCTGGAAAAGCAAGGCACCTCCGATTTCTCTTAAAACCTTATCATAAAAGTAATTTAGTTTCTCTTAGGATGGGCACCTCCATCTTTGGGTGCCTGACTCTTCCCTTCACGTTCTGACAGGAGCTAGCATGCAAAGCGCAGGAACAAGAGCGAAGCTTCCAGCACCGTCTCGACATCAAAGAAAACAAACCTGTTGAGGAGATGATGGGCAATGGGTTTGTTGATGACAACTCCTCCCTCCTTCTTCAGGATTTCTTCTAGGGCCCTCAGACAATTCACAACTACAATAGGATCCTGGTCGCGAAGCAAACTGTATAGCTCATTCACCAGTGCACCATCTGCAAAGAGGTAGAGGTTCTTATATCAAATTCTGCCAGCACGCTGCAAAGCAATCTCTGTCTGTAAGCCTTTATTTTGAACAAGAGATACGGCTTGAACTGGGAGAGTAGCCAACACCTCTTCCAGCTCCGCGGTAGCACCTGCCCTCGGCAGAGCTTTCCCCGGGGGGCAGCGATGGGAGAAGGGCACCCGGCCGGGCAGGGGCCGCGGGGCAGCAGGCACGAGGGGGGGCAGGCTGCCCTGCCAGGGCAGTGCCTGGCGTCTGGCTAACGATCCGACACACCGCGCCGCGCCGGCCCGGCGCCCTTCCTCCTCCTCCTCCCTCCCGCGGTCCCGCGGCCGCCGCGACCCGGAGGCAGCGCAGCCAGCCCCGGGCAACCCACGGGCCCGCGGCCGCTCTCGGCCGGCCCGTGCCCCCCGCAGCGCAGCGCCGAGCCCCCTTACCCACTTCCGAGTCCCCTTGCAGCTTCACCATCTTGGCGCAGCCGAGCACGGCCGCTCTCCGCACGTAGGAGGCCTTGTCCCGCAGGCCGCTCAGGAGGGGCTGCTGCAGGTACTCCTGGATGCCGGGCATCCTGCGGGCGAGCGGGCGGGATCAGCAGGCCCGGGAGCCCTGCTGCTACCCCGGGTGTCCCCCCCTGCCACCCCGGGTGTCCCCCGGCTGCCGCGGGTCTCCCCTGGCTGGCCTGGGACCCTGCCTCCCCGGGTGTCCCCCCCCGGGTCTCCTCTGGCTGTCCCAGGTCCGCCCGCCCCCCCGGATCTGCCCCTCCACCACTCCGGGACCTCCAGCCGTCCCCCCCCCGGGTACCCCGCCCCCCCGGGTCCCCCCCGGCCGCCCCAGCTCCCCGCCCCCCCGGATCCCCCCCGGCCGCCCCAACTCCCCGCCCCCCCGGGTCCCCCCCGGCCGCCCCAGCTCCCCGCCCCCCCGGGTCCCCCCCGGATCCCCCCCGGCCGCCCCAGCTCCCCGCCCCCCCGGGTCCCCCCCGATCCCCCCCGGCCGCCCCAGCTCCCCGCCCCCCCGGGTCCCCCCCGATCCCCCCCGGCCGCCCCAGCTCCCCGCCCCCCCGGGTCCCCCCCGGGTCCCCCCCGGCCGCCCCAGCTCCCCGCCCCCCCGGATCCCCCCCGGCCGCCCCAACTCCCCGCCCCCCCGGGTCCCCCCCGGCCGCCCCAGCTCCCCGCCCCCCCGGGTCCCCCCCGATCCCCCCCGGCCGCCCCAACTCCCCGCCCCCCCGGGTCCCCCCCGGCCGCCCCAGCTCCCCGCCCCCCCGGGTCCCCCCCGATCCCCCCCGGCCCACCTGAGGCCGCACATGCTGCGCAGGGCGAGACCGCGCACGGCGGGGCTGGGGTGCGCGCAGTCCTTGCGCAGCGTGTTGACGGCCAGCAGCGCCAGCTGGGGCTGCCGCGGGGCCTGCGCCCGCACGTACAGCGACACCAGCTTCTTCTGCACCACGTCGGCCGCCGCGCTGGCCTTCACCATCTCCGCGAACAGCGGCGACACGTCCGCGCCCTGCGCCATGTGCCTGCGGGGGGACACGGGGGGACACGGGGGGACACGGCTCAGCCCGGCGCGGCCGTGTGTCTGCGGGGGGCACGCGGCTCAGCCCGTCCCGTCCCGGCGCCCCCCGCCCCGCCGTACCGGATAACGCGCAGGACGGCGGCGCGGTACCGCAGCCGGTCCGCCTGGACGTGCGGGTTGGCCAAGGCCCGGCGGAGCTCCCGCAGCGCATCCTCACCGCCCAGGTACGGCATGACAGGCCGCGACAGGCCGCGACACGGCGCGACAGAAACACCACCGCCCCGCCCCGCCCCGCACGTAACGCTCAGCCCCGCCCAGCACGCTGCGCGCGCACCCCGGCCCCGCCCCGCCCCGCCCGCCAAATTCGGCGGGAAGCGGCGGGCCGGCCCCCGCTGCCTCCGGCGGGATCCCGCCATGAGCGGGACGGTGATCGCCGGGACGCCCATCGCCGTGGACTTCTGGAGCGTGCGGAGGGCGCCCGGCGCCCGGCTCTTCTTCCTGTCGCACCTGCACTCGGACCACACCGTGGGGCTGTCCAGCACCTGGAGCCGCCCGCTGTACTGCTCGCCGCTCACCGCCCGCCTCCTGCACCGCCGCCTCCAGGTACGTGCGGCCGCCGCCCCCGCCGCTCGCCGCCCGGTCCCCGTCCCCGCCCCCGGCGCTCACCGCCCGGTGTCGTCCCCCCCCCCCGGCGCTCGCCGCCCGGTGTCCCCCCCCCGGCGCTCGCCGCCCGGTGTCCCCCCCCCCCCCCCCCCCCCCGGCGCTCGCCGCCCGGTGTCCCCCCCCCCGCGCTCACCGCCCGCCCCCGCAGGTGCCGCCGCGCTGGATCCGCCCGCTGGAGGTGGGGCAGAGCCACGTGCTGGGCGAGGAGGTGACGGTGACGCTGCTCGACTCCAACCACTGCCCCGGCTCCGTCATGTTCCTCTTCGAGGGCGCCTTCGGCACCATCCTCTACACAGGTACGGGGCGGGCCCCCGCCGCGGCCCCCGCCGCGGCCCCCGGCCCGCCCTGACGGCCCTGTCCTTGCAGGGGACTTCCGCTACACGAGCGCCATGCAGGGCGAGCCGGTGCTGAGCGGCCGCCGCATCGACCGCCTCTACCTGGACAACACCCACTGCCACCCGCGGCGGCCGCTGCCCTCGCGGCAGCACGCCACGGGCCAGGCCGCCCGCGTCATCCGCGCGCACCCGCGGCACCACGTCGTCATCGGTGAGTGCCGCCTCTCGCCGCGGGGCCGCCCGTCCCCTCGGCGGGGGCCCGCGGCACTCACGGCTCTCCTCGCAGGTGTGTACAGCCTGGGGAAGGAGGCGCTGCTGGTGGACCTGGCCGTGGAGTTCAGCACCTGGGTGGTGGTGAGCCCCTGGCGCCTGGAGCAGATGCGGCTGCTGGAGATGCCCGACGTGTTCACCGCCGAGGAGGGGGCTGGCTGGATCCGCGCTGTGGACGTTGCCGAGATCCGCTGGGATACCCTCGCCAGCTGGAACGCGCTGCGCCCGACCATTGCCATCATCCCTACCGGCAGGCCCGTGAAGGCCACCCACCCCAACATCCACCCCATCCCCTACTCGGATCACTCGTCCTTCTCGGAGCTGTGCGAGTTTGTGAAGTGGCTGAAACCTTGCTCGGTCATTCCGATTGTGAAGGATAGCATGTGCCAGACTTACTTTCAGGAATACCTGAGTTCTTCCCCCCGGGCGCTTCCTGACCTCAAAATCCCAAAGCCTGTGCAAGAGTCTGTACAGCAGCAAAGCAAAAGGAAGGGACAGGAACTCGTGCATCTCTCGAAAAGAGCTGCCTGGCATTCTGTGCCCCGAGGAGTTGTTTATGAGTCCCCAGAGAAATATACTGAGAAACCCGAAGAGTTTACAGGTGTTAAGGTTCCTCAGCAGAACTGTTGTGAGGCAGCTTTCTGCTCTAAAGAAGGTTGCAGTTGTCCCACGTGCAAGGAGAAAGGGAAGGAAGAGATGAGTGGAGAAGAGCCAGGAGTAGCAAGAGCAGCTAGTGCTGCTAGCCAGGCGCCTGTTTCTGATAAGCACTTTCCAACTGGATTTGCAGAGCAGTATCTACTTACTCCCTTGAATGTTCTAAAGCAGAATTCCTCACACGAATTTGACAAGCTGGTAGAAGAGTTCTTTAGGAGGGGAGAAACATCCTGAAAAACTGTATGATGCTTGCCAGTGCCAACGCAGTTGGTAGCAGTGATTTTGAAGGTCTTGCTGCTGTATCCCATTTTCTGTGTTCATGTTTCCCCTCAGGAGAGGAGCTCTGCTGTGGAGTTCTACTCTTTTTAACTCTCATTAGAGGACGAGGAGGAAACTAGAACCAGTTTGTAGGTGTTAGATTCTTTTTCTTATTGATTTATTTATTTTTATACTTCTGTTGGGTCTCCACACTAAACACGGGCAGTGCAGTCCCACTGCGTGTGTGCCTTGTATCCACTTTTTGCAGTGTCTTACTTGTTTCTTGTGACAAAAGATACTGCCAGGTTGATTCAAGCTGAGCTGCAGAGGGCGTGAGCTGCCTGCAGCTGAAAGTAATTGATGGGGATGGATGTGATGAAAGAAGCAAAAAGTGGGGAATCTGAGAAGCCCCAAATGTTCTTTCTGTATGTCTGTAGTGCATCATTGACAATGAACAGTTCATTCCAAGCTGCATTGCAAATATGTATTAAGGTACCCTTAATAATGGTGCTTAAAGAAATGTAGAAAATGAAGTGCCTCTGAGTCTAGTAATCTATTTTCTATCTATGTATCTACTAATACCTCCGGACAGCACTGCTTTTGCATCCAGCCAGCTGCAGCTGGATGCGGTTCTGCTCTCATGGAAAGCACCATCATCATGTTAACTGTGAATGGTTTTTCAGGTTACTGGCTGGAAAAAGCCCGAATGGCCTGGGTTCCTGAGTTCTGGATTTTCCAGAATGGGTCACTATAGTCTCTGCAGCCTCTGCACTCAAGTCTGCATGTCTGAATTCTGCTTGACTGCAGAGTGCTCCTGGTAGCCGCCGGCATTTTGCTAGGCCCACTGTGGCCTTTGCACCCACTGCTTGTTCTTATCACGCAATGGCAAATGGGATGGAAGATAATGAAACATCTGCTTACTGGTGTAAAGTGCTCAGTCTTAGCAGCATTATTTGGAAAGAATACCATGGCTGAACAGCAAAACTGGCTCTGCGAGGTCGAGGTCAGGCACGTTCCCACTGCAGAGAGCCGCGGCCTGGCTGGCACAGTCGGGAAGCGCCAGCAGCGTGACCGGCCGGCGGGTGCCCACCGCGGAGCCTGGAAACACTGTCCTTGTCCGTGCCAAACCGCGCTACAGCATTGCGAGTTGGCTCCCCGTGGGGCCAAGACAGCCCCGCTAGAGTGGAAATGGACACTCGGCACTTTCCTGGAGGAACAAACCAGCTTGTTACGCAGCTTTTTCTAGCCTACTTTTCCTTACTTTCAAAACAAAATGTTTCACGTGATCTCAATCGGGTTCAGAGTCTCTTCTGAATGTAGTGTTGTGCAAGGTCTCTCCAAGACCAGTCAGCTGGATGGATTGAATTCCCTGAATCAAGCCAGAAAAGGAAGCCTTTGCTCTTTGAGTAGAGCTAGGGCTTGTGAAAAGCAAAGGTGCCTGTAGAAGCAGCAGCCACACCCGTTAAAAACCGGGCTGTCCTGAACAGTGATCATGACAGCCAGAGTGGGTATGTTTGGAAAGCTGTTGGGCAAACACGAGTCCTAACTCCTAACCCTGTGCCCTCCCAGGCACTGCAACGTTTATCAGGTTAGCAGTGCCTTTCCCTGGGACTGCCTGTTGATTCTGCCCACCAGCTGCTAAGGGGATGTCCGATGTGACGGAGCAGTGTTCTGTGAAATACACTTCAGAAGGGGTAGCAAGGGCAGCTCAGGCTTCTTGGAGGTTTCGGTATGGTTTATTTGCTCATCAAAACTCAACTGCAGAGCTCCAGTGTGAGTGGAGACACCTGCATCTTTTGTAACATTGGAGACTGCCCGGGAAATAATTGTGCTATGCTTGTAGTGTTTTACCTGCTGCTGGCTGCCTTGGAGATGCAGGCTGTTATTTAATTATTGCTGAAGTTTAAGTGACTCACTTGGCAGGCAGGTGAGTGAAGCACTGCCTGAACTCCCAGATTCCACATCCTGCTCCCCTGTGCAGCCTCTCCATTGCTCAGAAGGGATGCTTGTGTTCTGAGTCACTGTTCCACTTAGGTATGTTGCAGATGACCTCATAGATCTGATGCATTTCACTGCTGATGTTTTGTGACATCCAGCCTGTTATTCTTATCAATGGTTCCTATCAATAATTTATTCAAGTAAACGAAGTAGAGAAGCTCCTGGTGAACCTCTGGGCAAAATGGAGTTGTAAATGGTAATTCTTTACAGAGGCAACCCTGATCTTGAGATCACACAAAAAGTGAAGATTGCAGAGACTTCAGAAGCTGGGGATCTGCATCCCATTTCTGAACACTTGGTTAAAACTGCAGAAGAAATGCTGGCTTTTTTTTGTTACTGGAACTTAAAAGGCAGTTCCTGCTACTTCGGAAGGAAATTACCCAAATCATATAGAGCCAAGGAAACCTAAAATCTCTGTGGTTTAAAAAGGCCGTAGAAGCAGAAGAGACTTGACCAACAGTCAGCATGTTGGAGATCTTTGCCTCAGCACAGCAGGTGTATGAGGCATTTTAGAATGCCACACGTTTCCTCCTTCTCGTGGGTGTTAAAATACTACTTTTGTTTGTTATCCCAAAATCCTGGAAAACAAAGCACAGCCTTGTTGGGAAAACTGGCAGTATGGTATTGCTGAGCTCTAAGGTTTCTGAGAATCCTTCAGCCTTCCCTGAAGTCTTCTGGCAGTAAATATCTGGCCTCTTACAGGCCTTGTTCTCCCTCATGCTTGCCGCCCAAGCTTCCCTCTTTTCCTACCAGCAGCCTAGCTCACCGGGGAGCGTTAGTGCAGCCAAGAGCTGGAGCGTCGTGTCAGCGGGGCCTCAACCTGTCGCTTCCAGCTCAGCTGCACAGGGCGCTGGCAACACTGCTGCCAGAGGTGTGTTTTGCTCACAACAGCCACACTGAGAGGCTGTAGCCAAGTATTAGCTTGACTGTGGGGTATCTAAGGGCCACAAGCTTGGAAACTTAGTTATCCTAAGGGGGAAAAAAAAAAAAAAAAAGTGCTCAGACCAAAAGCCTCCCAAATCTATACATGCAGAGCATGCTTGAGCTGCTTATCTCTGTTCCACAGTTGGGAACCAAGCCCCAGTGGGATGAAACAACCCAAGGCCTTACACACCCCACAAAGGAGCTAGGAAGGAGTGGAGTTCTTTTTGGCCAGTTTTCGGCACTTTTAACAAGCTGTGATCAAATGCTGGCATGTCATGAGGGCAGGGCAGGCTTATAGTTCTGGGAGCAGGGCTGCCTCCTGAGCTCCTCCTACACAGTTGCCTGTGAAAGTCCAGTCACTATATTATAAAACAGTTTAGTTGGTTCTGGCTTCTATAAAAGAGAGTAGCAAACCATGAAGGGGTGCACTGCCTATGCTATGGGGAGGAGGCAAAGTAGGTTGCTGTTCATAGTCTGAGGTAAAACTTGCATAGCTCAGGCACTCCACAGCAAACAAGTGTGTAATGTAACTGTAGGGAACACCCTAGAGCACTCTGCTCAGTGGGGATTCTAACTCTGCTTCCCGCACTACAGGGCTAAAACACTTCTGACAGCTTCTGTCTTTGCTGAAGAGCTGCTGTCCATTTCTGCAGCGCAGGTTCTTTTTATTGTTATTTTCCATAGAAAAAGAATGGTGTAACGGGGAAAATCTTTTCTTCACCAAAAAACCAAATTCAATGAGTTTATATAATTTCCTATATGGTGTGTTGTAGCTTTGGGCTTATTCCAAATTAACCTCGAGCCTAAAAAATCTGGCTTTGTGCTCTTTTATGGAGCCCTCCAGAAAAGTAGTAGAACATGTAGAAAAAGAGAAAATGTAGAGTCACTTGGATAATCATGTGAGGTTCCCTCTTCAAATGAGCTGCTGCCTGGCTACGGGTATTCTGTGTGCATTTGTGATTCCTTGTGCTAAATTTGGTTTCTCTAGCTAATGTTGCTACAGTGCCTAAATTTTCCTTGTTGTCACTTTGTATTTGGCCAAATACCAGCCTCAGCACAAGCAGCCATGAGTGTGCAGTAAACTGTTTGGGACAGACCTTACTTGACAGCAGGCCTCTTGGCCCTGGCTCAGGGCGTCTCGGACATTGTGAGCGGGTGCTTGGGAAGATGAGAATTTTTATTTTGTGTGGGTGCTCCACTCTGTCGTGGTTTAGGCCTGATTGGCAGCCAACCACAGTGCAGCAGCTCTCTCTCCCTTCCCCTCCGGCAATGAGAAGGGACAGAGAGCCAGGCTTGGGGTTCGAGATAGGACTGGGATGGGGAAAAATCCCCCTTTATGATCACGAGCAAAAGGCAGACTCGTTAGGGGAAGAAAAAAAAAGAACATACATTTATTAGAGACACTAACAACACATAACAGAGTAGGACAGGGAGCTGGGGGAGCACAGATGTGCGGTGCGGAGCACCACACGGCGCCGATCCTGTGATTGCTTTCCAGGCATTGCTGCCACTAAATGGTGGGGCGTAGGACTCGGGCTATCTGGGAAGCTGTGCGCCTCTCTCCAACAGGCAGGAGCTCCAGAATGGCATGGGGGAGGAGGAGGGAGGGACTGGGCAGCCGAGGTCCCCCTTGTAGGGGACGAGTTCCACAGTGAGCCAGGGCACAGACCATGTCAGGCTGCCTCGGGTTTCAAGGGGCTCTGAGCCAAGCCCTCGCTGAAGTGTGTTTCACACGTGCTGGCTTCGGAGTTCCCTGTAAGCCTGAAGAAAGTAAGGTCAAGAGAAATGCAGCCCCCAAGTCCTCCCTGCAGGATCGAGACCTTCCTTTAGCAGATAGCACAGAGGGGTGAGCTGCTGAGTGGTGTTCTGCTGGAGGAAGAAAGTGGAAAATGTTATTTCTTGATTCTTATGCGCACGCATCACTTGCTGGATTTTATACAGAAGAGCAATGCTGTCCCTTCACCCTTCTCTGCTGGCAGCTTGTCTCGCTGTCCATCACGATGTTATTTAGTGCTCCAAATCATGGCTGCAGTTAGAGTCGCCCAGCACTCTCTCATGGACAAAAGTTGCACTTCAGTTTCTGCAAAGCAGAAAAACCTCCTCAGTGCACCCCCAGCGCTCCCTCTCCGGAGGGTCTGACATTGCCCTGGGGGATGGTTTGGAAAGGTGCTTGTGCAGTGATCAACACCGTGACAGAGGCTCTGTCGGTGTGCACTCCCGGGGTTGCATGTTGGCGTGCATCGTTGTGAACTCTCCCACCCAGCGCTGTGCTGGTGGCGGCTCCTCGGCTGGGGGACCTGTGGCTGTCGCGACAGAGGTGCAGCTGTCGCAACGGAGTTGCCTGTGCTGGGGGAGACCAGCCAACACAGTGCGGTGTGGAGGGGGAGCTGGGGAGCGTCCCAAGAGCGCCTGCTTCCCTGGGGCTTGTCTTGCTTCTTCCAGTGGTCTCGGGGCCAATTTCCTGCCGCGTTTCAGAAGGATCAGTAGAGTGGCACTTCTGCTCGCAGGTTTTTGTGTGGCAGGTGTGACTCGGTACTCAGCATACAGCCACCCCTGGTCATTGCACTCTTTGCTTAGTGCTAGAACTCGGCACTGTGTGTCAGTGGACCAG